GGGGACGTGCGGAGGGAGGGGACGTGTGGGAGGGAGGGGACGTGTGGCCCACAGTGACGAGGCCCCGGCCAGGAGCCGAGTCCCTGCCTGTGTCCACGGGCCACCCTGTGGTGGCCGTGCGTTCCGGCTGGAGGGCCTCGCCGCCCACGGCTGACGTGGACGCTGCAGGCGCTTTGGGCTGGAATTTGGCTGACCGACCTGGTCCACGGCCTGCAGCGCTGACGATGAAATGCCCATTATGTGCTTAATCGCGAAACCACTAGCAAATTGCCGCTTTCAACCTATTGAGTGTTTCGTTTAATTAGCTCATTACGGTGCAGCCCGGCGTCTGCGGGTGGTCACGGGGACGGGGGCAGCGGCCTGTGGGCCTGGCCGTCCCAGGCCGGCCAACGCGCCTGCGAGGAAAGCCCAGCAACCAGAGCGCCCGAGTCTGGGCAGAAGTGGAACCAGCACCGTCCCACTCTGCCCCTTCCCTTGTCCCCAAGCCAGAAGGACCAAGTGACCAGAGGCCAACCGCGCAGTGGTGGGAGCATAGAACTTGCTGGAACGATGTCCCCAGTGTTAGGGGAAAAGGGAACTCAGAGCCGAAGTGAGTCCTTGCTACAAGTACATTCGAGGATGGAAAAGTTTCTCTGACGACCAGACGGAAATCACAAGCCAACCAGTGGCCGCGCCGGCGAGGCGAACCCCAGGCAGCTTGTCTGTCCTCCCTGAACCACTCAGGGCCCAAAGGCGACAGGCAGTGTCTGTGGGTCCTGGGACATGACCCCATGACACAGGCGTCAGGCGAAGTCGGCGGAGACGGAAGGCGGAACCCAGGCCCTGCAGGCAGCAGCGGAGACGCACAGCCAGCGGGACACGGACGGGACACGGGACAGATGCCTGCGCCCCGGGACGGGGCCGTGGGGCCGCCACAGGCGCTGTCTCCGGGGCTCGGAGACTCTCCCGGGGCCGGGCGAGCCCTTCGGTTCCACAGCCGTTCTTAAATATTGTCTTGGTTAAATTCAAGTAAAGTTAAACTGAACGTTAAGTTTCGCGGAGAACAGAGGACTAGGGATGGCTTTTTAAAGCGTCACACGAAACTCAGAAGCCAGACACGAGAGGCCGAAGGGTCCTCTGCACACAGCAAAGCTCCCTGCACAGCAGGCGGGGGCCGCGCCTGGGACGGCGAGGGCACCGCGGGCCTGCGAGGCTGTGGCCGCGCTGGGGAAAAGCAGCTCGCGGAAGGGGCCTGTCCCCAACCCGGCAGAGTGGGGCAGACCGACCGGACGCGGATGGGCCCACCCCGCCGTGTGCGCAGGTGTGCCGGGCACTTCTACGCAGCAGGACCAGGCGACCGCTGGACTTTGAAAGGCCCCCGGTCCCAGGAGGCCTCCCTCGCAGAGCGTGCGACCCCGAGTGGCACAGTGGCAGAGGCTCGGGAGCGGCGGCCTGTGTGTCACCATCTGTCCTCGTGTTTCCTTCTCAGTGAGCGTGAGGAGCGAGTCACCTTCCTGTGGGACCGCAGGGCTCGCTCCTGGCAGAGGCGCCTGGCCTGCCTCGCGGCCACCCACTCCCCACGTCAACCAGCAACGGGCGCACACACCGGCACGCCTGGGGGGCGGGGCGCCAGCCAGGCCCTGCGTGCAGGGTCCTGGGCACTGGGCAGCTTCCCGCCCGTAGCCCTGCAGGTGTCCAAGCTGGCGTCCAGCTCTGGGGACCCTCCACTGCCACCCGGCAAGGGGCCTTCTGGAGCTCGGGGGTCACTCAGCACCCCAGGCCTGGGCCTGTGACCTATGGCGCTGCCTTCCGGTCCCTGGATTCTGTCTTCTAAGGGGCTCCAGACAGGTGGCACTGAGGGTGGCAGAGTCCTCGGAGCCTTGCTGGACAGGCTCGGAGCCGCCACACACGCGGTGTCTGCTGGACAGGCTCGGAGGCCGGCCAGGACGCTCAGAACAACAGGAAACACGACTGAAAACGGTGGCTTCCGCTGACGGTGAATGCAGGCAGAGCCTCTGGCGCGGGGAGACAGCACGGCTTGGGGCTCTGGGGAACTTGTGGGGCAGGAGTGGGCATCGCTGCCACCCCGGCGAAAGCCACGTCCTCGCCCGTGGCCCGGCCAAAGACAGACGCCGCTGGACCGGAGGAGCCGGCAGCAGAGCCGGCGCTGGCAGAGACCACCGACCTCTGTAAACGCAGCTCCTGGATCCGAGCCCCTCGCGAAAGGAGAGAACTGGACTCCGTCTGGACATTCGCAGGCGATCGGAGAGGCCGCGGGGAGGGACACTGCCCGACCCGTTCCAGAGCTGTGAAGACGTAGCTACCCGGGACCTGCAGGGGCCACAAGCCACAGGGAGAGTTGGCCTCCCAGGCCTCTTCCCAAAGCACGGGAGGCCCCCAGCTGGAGGGCTGTGGCAGGACGGGCCGTCCTGCTGTGCCCCGGGGGCCGGCCCTGCCTGCGTCTGGGTGGCAGGTGCTGCTGAGGATGGGGCTCAGATGCTGCTGCTGCGTCCCAGCAGACTGGCCTGGGGCAGACGTGCGGGGCGCCTGTCCTTCCTCACCCACACTGCGGCCCCTCCAGGGCACGAGCGTGCAAACCCCAGGGGGGCCCCGGACGGTTTCCTGCAGAGCAGCCGGGCGGGCCCGAGACATCCAGGGACCCGGCCCTCCATGCTCAGAGACGGCCTCCCTCACTCCGGGCATCATGCATGCGTCATGCGTGCCCTGGCGCGGCCTGGAAATCCTGTCACGTGGCCACGTCCAGGCGCCAGCCAGCCTCCCCCGAGGCTGGGCCCTGGCTCTGCCGGCTCCCCGGGTGGCTCCCCGGGGTGGGGGAGCACAGATGCCCCAATGAGGCGTGGACGTCAGATGGAGGGGCAGCCCCTGGCCAGAGCCAGGATGCACAGCCAGGCGGGGCTCTGGGAGGGACCTCAGAGGCCCTCAGACCGGAAGCGCGAGCCCACATGCCTCTGGGCAGCTGAGGGGCCTTGCAGGTGGCAGGTGGCCAGAGGCCAGTGCGCCTGAAGGCCCTGCACTGAACGTGCCACACAGCTTCCCAGGCAGCTTTGAGTGGAGTCGGCTGCCCGAGGCGGGCCAGCACTGAGGACAGGAGACCGTCCTCGGGGAGCCCCGCCGTGACCCCGAAATTATCACCGAGGAGTGGGCCAGGGAGGGCTGTGGCGCCCGGGGACCCTCCCCAGGTCTCAGGGCGGGGCCAGGACGTGGCCTCCGCTCCCCTTGCGGTGGGGTCCCAGCAGCCAGGAGGCCTCGCCTCAGAATCCCACGCACGGCCCCCAAGAACTTCGGTGGGCGAGGGAGGCGACGTGTACGTCCGTCAGTGTCCCAAAATCTGGCTTCACGGAGGCGTCTGGCACTTCCTCTTGAGCCTCACAGCACGAAGGAGCAGTGGGCCCCAGTGGGCCTGGGCAGGCGGGCGGAGCTCGGCACCCCAGGGTCCTGGCGAGGGGCCCGGCGCGGAGACCTCTGGGCTCGGTGTGGGCAGTGGAGCTCGTGCCTGCTGGGCGGCCCGGAGACCCTGCCCTGCTGCGGGCACGGGCGCCGGCCAGCGTGCGGGGCCCTCCAGGGAGAGGCCAGTGCGGCTGGGCCTCGAGCAGGGAGTAGCCTCAGCGCCTCAGGACGCTTAGGGCGAGGGTGGGCCGTGGTCACCAGATGCAAGACGGAGGGCCGAGGACAGGTTTGCGTGCAGCCTGGGCGTGGGCGCCCCCGCCCTGCCCACCCTGTCCTGAGCCCTGCAGCCCCCGCCAGCCTGACTCTAGCACCCCAGCTGACCAGCCCTCTCGGGGTCCCCGTGGAAGAGAGGGGCCATCGTCTGGGCAGGAGGCGGGGAGACCCCTGAGGAGGGCGACCTCCGGCCAGGTCCCGAGGACCAGGTGACCGGGACTAGCTGGGCCTCCAGGCCACACGAGCGGAAGGGAGGGAGGTGACCGCAGCCGGAGCCTGTGGTCCCTCCCCCGCCCGCCCCTGACCCGCCTGTCCCGCAGGCTTCCACCTGTCCCACAAGGTCACCAGCGTGGTGCCGGAGAGCGCCCTGCTCATCGTGCTGGGGCTGGTGCTGGGCGGCATCGTCTGGGCCGCCAACCACATCGCGTCCTTCACGCTCACGCCCACCGCCTTCTTCTTCTACCTGCTGCCGCCCATCGTGCTGGACGCCGGCTACTTCATGCCCAACCGGCTCTTCTTCAGCAACCTGGGCACCATCCTGCTGTACGCCGTCGTGGGCACCGTGTGGAACGCCGCCACCACAGGCCTGTCCCTCTACGGCGTCTTCCTCAGCGGCCTGATGGGTGAGTGGGCGCTGCCGCCTACCCGGGGGGCTCCGTGGGCGGGGGGCTCCGCCCGACGGGCTCCGGGCTCTGAGGAAGGGATCCTGGTTGAGCCAGGTCGGCGGCTGGGCGGGGGGGGGAGCCGCCCACTGCTGGCCCTGCCCTCGGAGGGCAGGTGGGGCCCGGCCCCCACCACCGAGCCCCCGGGGACAGAGAGCAGGAGGCCCCTCCGGCAGAGGCCAGCATCCGAGCCCACAGCCCAGGTAGCCACGCACCTGAGCAGCACTTTTGGGCGTCGTTTCTGCTGAAACCTTCGAGAGAAGGCCACAGCGCCCGCCCTCGGGCGCCTGCAGCTCCGTGCCCGGCCTCGCCTCCCAGAGTCCGCTTACTCTCCGTGCACCTGTGAGGAGGGCCCCGCCCACCGGGGACACTGGAGCGGGCGGGGCCTGCAGAGCATCACTGTTGCTGATTTTCTAGAGAGAATTAATAAGCAATTAATAAGCATCGTTCCCCTGGGACACTGGAGCGGGTGGGGCCCCGATGCTGCCCAGGCCCCCTTGGCTTCACGGCACGCTCGCCCCGGCACTGGGGCAGAGGGGGAGGGCTGCCGTGGGCCCCACGCCCGGGCGCCCGTCCGAGCACTCAGCCCGGCCTCACCCCGCTCTACTAGCGGAACCAGACGTGGAGACAGGCCCATCTGATCGAGGGGGGGCCCTGCTGGCCTCCCATGTGAATCGAGGCCTTGAAGTCCCAGTGACAAAGGAAGTGCATTGAGAAAGAAGGGCCAAAGGTCCCCCGATGAGAACAGCCGCCTCGCCTAGCACACTGTCACCTCGGGACTTCGTCCTCGCCCCACGGAGCACGCACGTGCTCCCTCGAGGCCCCCACCACCCTGCACTGCCTGCCAGGCCCAGCGGGAAGGAACCTTAAGGGTGACACGGGCCGGGGTGCACCTGGCCGGCCTCGCAGGTGGGCCCCCCGCCCCGTGGGTGCAGTCGGGTTACGTTGTTGGCATTATGGTGGCTTCTCGGGTGCTCAGGACGCACGTAAGATGATATGGCTGCCTCCGGCTGCTGAGCCCAAAGCCTCGGGGTTTGTGGCAGGGACACTGAGTGACGCCCGGGACACGGCTGGCCAGGCTAGGCGTCGTCCCAGGTCACGGAGCGGAGCAGGGCCCAGGGGCCCAGGAGTCTATCCTGTCCCAGTGGATGGGGCTGGGAGGGCGAGGGCGGCAGCGGTCCACCCATGCTGACCGGCAGCTCAAGGACCGGGCGCACCCCTCCAAGGAAGGGTCAGTCTGGGCCAGGCCGCAGGCAGGACTCACCATCCAGGCCAGCCCAGGGTTAGGCCCTGCAGGAGCCCCAGAAGTTGGAAAGGCCCCTGTGGACACCCATGACCAGGGACTCGGGGCAGTGTCCAGCCACATGGACTCAGCCTCTCCGCCCTCCCTCCATCTTCTCGGCCCTGACTGGATCCACTTGGGCTGGGGAGAGGACAGGTGGCCAGTGAGGCCACAGGGGACGCCCCAGTCAAGGCCTCGCAACCGAGCCTGGCTGAGAGCAGGGGCAGACGGGCACCCACGCGCGCCTCCGCAGGCACGGGTCTGAGGCCGGCACCGGGGTGTGCACGTGACCTGCTGGTGACCCAGGCCCCGAGATCAACCGGGAGGGTCGCGGAGGCTGCAGAGCCTCTCAGCACGACCTCCCCACCCACGGGCGCCCGCGGGCCCTGGGCAGGGGCCGTGGAGCCGAGGGGAGAGGGCGGGCTCCGTGTGGACATACTCTTTCCAGGCCTGTCCTCCTGGCACCCCGAACGTGTCTGCCACCTCCCTCCTACCCTCCGCTCTCGCCAGCCCCCCTGTAGCCACTGCTGCTGGGGCCTTTGGGGTTTCCCAAGGGCTGTCGCAGCCCCCAGGGTCCCTTGAGACCTGACCCCACCCCGGTCACCTCCCTCTGGGCTGGTCCCTGTTGCCCCCACTGTGGCCCAGACCGTACTGGCTGGGGAGGCACGTGCGCCCTGCGTCCGCACTCATGCCCACCGGGCAGCAGACTCCCCAGGGCCAGGGTCTGGCTGCATGTGTCATGCCAGGCGCCCCGAGCCCCTCGGCCCCCTGCAGCAGGCTCCCTGGGAAGCCGAACAGGAGGCCTCAGCCAGCCTGAGGAAATCAAAGGAGAGACCCAGGGGTGGCCGGTCTCCTTGGACGGGCTGGGGCTCCCTGCCTTCCCGGAAGCTGTGGGAGCTGCGGCGGGGGGCACTCTCCCCGCAGCCAGCCCAGGCCCCGGGCCAGCAGCCCCGGGAGGCTGGCACGCGTCCAGCCTGCTCTGCCCTCCGCCTGTCTTCTCTCTGTGTCCCAGCGGCCGGGGACGCCCGGGCTCCAGCGCCAGTGGAGGCCCCCGACGTCACCCTTGTCTCCTAGGGGACCTGGACATCGGGCTGCTGGACTTCCTCCTGTTCGGCAGCCTGATCGCTGCCGTGGACCCGGTGGCCGTCCTGGCCGTGTTCGAGGAGGTGCACGTCAACGAGGTGCTGTTCATCATCGTCTTCGGGGAGTCGCTGCTGAACGACGCCGTCACGGTGGTGAGGGCCTCCGGGGGACAGGCGCCCAGGCGGGTGGGGCCGCCGCGGGGCGGGGGGCAGGCCCCGGGCGTGGCCGATGCCCCTGGGCGACACGTGACTGTCCACTCAGACACCCCGTGGACCCCACCTCACTCCTTCGCGGGTCACGGCTCCGCGGTCAGGGACCCAGAGCCCAGTCGGCCCCCATGTTGCTGACTTTCTAGAGAGAATTAATAAGCAAACAACAAAATCTCAGCAGAACCGGGGCCGTGGGCAGCTGGGGCTCTCGCTGTGCTCGCGAAGGCTGTTCTCCCCCAGGGAGGTGGCACCGGCGGCTCGGTGGCCCGTGGGCCGGCAGGGGCTGCAGGGTCCCCCCTCAGGACGGGAATGTGAGGGGCTGTGTCGGCATCAGGGCCACCACTTAGTTTTTGAAACCCATCCCCAAACTGGGCCAGGACCTCTGGAAAGGGAACGGTGGCCGAGGGTGTGTCCCTGAGCCAGCTCGGGGCCGGGGGCATGTCCCGGCCGCCCCCACGTGGCAGCCGCAGACACGGAGGGGCCCGAAGTCCCCTCCTGTCTCCGGGGCACCTGGGGCGTCTCTCTCACTGCTCACTGCTCATGTCCCCGGGTCGTGGAGGGTGAAAGCCTGGGCCAGGTGCCCAGGTTTCTTGTAGAGCTGAGCCTATCTGGGGGTCCGAGCCCACCCTGAGCCTGGGCAGGGCAGGGCAGGGCAGTGGGGAAGGCAGGTGGCCGGGCCTCTGCGTCTCCACGGACACGTGGCCTGCCTGACCGGGGACTTCACGGCTCCCTGCGTGAGGCCCGCCTCGCACGGAGCTTCTGCGCAGGTCCGGCTCCCGGTGCCTTCATGCAGGCGCCCGTCCTGTACACAGCACCTGACACGCCCCCCGGGGCCCTGGGAGCACATTTAGGGGCGCAGACGCAAGTGTCTCCTGGAGACCTATGGCCCATTCCAGGTGGGGAGCAGGCTCGGAAAACACAGCTGTCCCCACAGCCGCACCTTGGGCGAGGCTTCTGGGCGTCTCATCTCGTCCTGGTGGGATGAGGTTTAAATGTCAACAGGCAGAGACGCCAGAGGCACCAGGGTTGTGACCCCCACACCGGGGGGCAACATAGCAGCACCGTCACTGACGACCAAGCTCCGGGTCTGTCTTGGGAAATGAAATCGAGACTTGAACATAGTGGGCTGGCTTTGTGGCCGCCCTGCCGGCCGGGTTTGTTCCTAAAGGTCTAGTTCCTTCCAGAATGTTCTGCCTCCCAGATCCCACCTGCTGGCTCGTCCGTGGCCTTCCTCACTGATCATTACTGCCCCGCGGTGATCTCCCTGCCAGTAGTTTTAAGGCTCCGAGACGGAGCGGGGCCCCAGGGCCAGCCTCACGTCGGCTCCGCCTCTGCGTCCCCAGGTCCTGTACAACGTGTTCGAATCGTTCATCACGCTGGGCGGGGACAATGTGACCGGCGTAGACTACGTGAAAGGCATAGGTGTGTGGCTGGCGGGTCCCGGCCTGGGGGCCTGCACCCCTTCTCCAGAATGCGGCCGCCTCGCGGGCCGGCCCGGCCTCTGCGCCAGGCACCCCTGGACCATGGCCTGGGCACGAGCAGGGGCCTCCACCTCTGTCTCCGTCACGGCCCTTCCTGTCTCCGGCGTGATTCACGAACACGATGTCGCCGTGTCTCAGCCCCCCTGGGAGGCAAGGGTCAATTCCCCGTCACGGCCACCAGATCAGGCTGGAGGGGGTACATCCGGGTGTCCTGGGTGTTCCCTGGGCAGGACCGACGACAGCCTAGCTGTGCCTGGGCGCCCAGGGCCCTGGTCCTGGCTGCCGACCCATGCCCAAGGGTGCTCTCTCCGTGATGGGGGGGGGGGCGGCTGGGCGTCCATAGGCTGCATCCCCTCCCCAGCTGTCCACTAGGCCTCTCTCCCGAGAATGGGCTTCTTGTTTGCTGAGCCCCTCTGTGGGGGGGTTGCCAGGCAACAGCCTCAGGACAGCGGGGAAGGAAGGCCAGCAGACCCGCCTGGCCCACGCCGTGGCCACAAAGGGCCATTCAGGCGGCCCGACGTCCTGTCCTTGCCCCTTGCAGTGTCCTTCTTCGTGGTGGGCCTGGGGGGCATGCTGGTGGGGGTCCTGTTCGCCTTCCTGCTGTCCCTGGTGACACGCTTCACCAAGCACGTGCACATCATCGAGCCCGCCTTCGTGTTCATCATCTCCTACCTGTCCTACCTCACCTCCGAGATGCTGTCCCTGTCTTCCATCCTGGCGTAAGTACCCCTGGCTGCAGGTCTCGGGGGGCCCAGGAGTGGCGCCTCACTCTGCCTCCAGTCCCCGGGTGGTGGAGGCTGGGCCTTCTGCAGCCCCAGGCGCCCTGCCCGCCTCCCAGGCTGGCGGGCAGGGCAGTCGGGGGTGAGGAATGTGATCTCCTTAGCTTTTTACATAAGGAGTTGGCGTCCAGAGGGCCGGGCTTGCAGGCCTGCAGGCCGCCTCTCTGTCGGCAGCACCCCGTGCCCCTCGGAGCCGCCTCGGCTGGGCCAGGGGCAGGCAGGCGCGCTGCAGCTCAGGGCCCAGGCCCCAGGGACTCGGGAACAGATTGCGGTGATGTCGGGGTGCCGGCCGGCAGTGGGCCCAGCTCAGGGCACTGATCCCCACGGAGGAGCCCCGAGCTCACGGGGAGAAGGGCACAGGCCCTGGGGTGCCACCGGGGTCGCCCCAGACAGCCGCACGGGTGCAGGGCGCATGGCGCCTGCAGCCTCACGAGTGGCCCGCCCCCCAGCATCACCTTCTGCGGCATCTGCTGCCAGAAGTACGTGAAGGCCAACATCTCGGAGCAGTCCGCCACCACCGTGCGCTACACCATGAAGATGCTGGCCAGCGGGGCCGAGACCATCATCTTCATGTTCCTGGGCATCTCGGCCGTGGACCCGCTCATCTGGAGGTGGAACACGGCCTTCGTGCTGCTGACGCTGGTCTTCATCTCCGTGTACCGGGCCGTCGGTGAGGGCGGGCGCAGGGGTGTGGGCACTGGCTGTGGGTGTCCGTGGGAGGCAGGGATGTGGCGTGCGTCCCCAGCCCAGGGGAGGGCAGGTCCAAGAGCCCCTGGGGACTCGGCCTGGCGTTCCGTGGTCTTGGCTGAGGGTCAGGCCGCTCACGGCCTTGCCGTGGTGAGGCTGAGTGGGCAGCTGCGGGCAGCAGAGGCTCAGGGGAGCCTGTGTGATTTCCCACTCGCTCATTCCGAACGGGACAGAGTGACCTGGGGCAGGGCCGTCACCGAGGGAGTAGCCCTGGCGCGCGTGAGGCAGGACCCCAGCTGCCCGCCCCGCACTGCTCAGCTGGTGCGCGGGGTCTTGGGGCCTGATGAGGGCCAGGGGGCGGGAGGAGTCACCCACCCCCTCCCCAGAGTGCAGTTTCCGCCGTTCTGTGTGCTGGATGCTGCTGTCACCTGTCACCACCTCTGGTCCGCAGAGGGGATCCCTAATTGCTCCCCCCAGCGCAGCGGCTGCCGAGGGCGGGGTTGGCGGGGCCGTCCGGTCCCAGCCGTGGGGCTGACCGCCCACCGGGCCCTGCAGGCGTCGTCCTGCAGACCTGGGTCCTGAACCGGTACCGCATGGTGCAGCTGGAGGTCATCGACCAGGTGGTCATGTCCTACGGCGGCCTGCGCGGGGCTGTGGCTTTCGCACTGGTCGTCCTCCTGGATGAGGACAAGGTCAAGGAGAAGAACCTCTTCGTCAGCACTACCATCATCGTCATCTACTTCACTGTCATCTTCCAGGTAGGTCGGCGCGGGGCCCCGTGGCCCTCGTGCCCTGCCCGCGGCCCGAGGGGCAGCCCCTCGCCGGCCCTGCTCCCCGCGGCCTTCCCAGGCTCCTTCCCAGCTGCACGTTCTAACTTTAGTAACTAGGAGCTGGTTTGTAGGTTTTCATGTGGCCCCACAGGGGACGCAGCACGGCTTGGCCTAAAAATCTCCCTCCTCAGCCATTGCCGGCTGACACAGCCCCAGTTAACACTTTGCGCCCCACTTGGCCTGGCTGCGGGCGCATCTGCGGAGTCGCTCGCTGGCTCCGGTGGGGGGGGCAGGGCGGGTGTGGGGCGCCTCTGCAGAGGGTCGCCGGCCAGCCGGGCACTGGAGAAGGGTGCCTGCTTCACCCTGTGGGGGTGGGGCTGGGTCTCCAGTGGGCTGGAGAGGGGTGCAGTGGGGCTCGCCCCAGCAGTCAGGGTCAGGGTCAGTGCACCTTGTCTCCCAGGGCCTGACCATCAAGCCCCTGGTGCAGTGGCTGAAGGTGAAGAAGAGTGAGCACCACGAGCCCAAGCTCAACGAGAAGCTGCACGGCAGGGTAGG